TAGTAGTAGTAGTAGTAGCAGCAGTAGTAGTAGTAGTAGTAGTAGTAGTAGTAGTAGTAGTAGTAGTAGTAGTAGTAGTAGTAGTAGTAGTAGTAGTTAGTTGTTGTTGTATCATCATTGTCATTATTATCAACAACGTTACGCGTATCATTCTATATTGTTATCCATGTTAATAAAGCATCACTGTTATTAATATTCCTTTTCATTATCATTAATACTTTTCCCCGTATGTTGCGTCTTCTTCTTCTTCACGGGACGGCGAGGCTCGCCCAGTGGCCCCCCCTGGAACTGGAGACCGGTGAGGTTTCGGGTCGCGCGCCGACGGCCTCCCGGCCCCCGGAATGCCCCGAGACGGTCGCAACACCCGAGCGATGATCAAAAGGTCCGGACATGAACGCACTCACTCACTCACTCATGCCATACGCCGGAGCGCGTGGGCGAAAGAAGACAAGACAAGACAAGGCCAGCCGATTCTCACCGCTTTGCGGGAGCGGCGGCACTACGGCGGTCGCATAAAACACAACGTGCGCGGCAGCAGGAGGAGGAGGAGGAGGAGGAGCAGGAGGAAAGAGGGAAGACAAACGGCCGGCGAAAACATGACATGATCGCGTCGTGAAAAATTCAGGACGGAAGGTCTTCGCCGTTGTCGGCCTCCAGAGGCCCTCGCTGGGCCCCGGGACCGTCGAAGCACGATGCGGGAGGAGAAGCTGGTCCCGCGGGGAAAGGGTCGGGACTTCCAGGGACCGCGCATTCCAAAAAAATCAAGACGTCGCATGGCTGGGAACGGGTCTTACGCGAGATGACACGGCGACCTCACGCGGTGGCTTCCGCGGGCAGCCAGCGCGGCACGCTACGGTGGACGACGAGGGCGCTCCCGCGCGACCTTACGCGGGAAGCTTGCGCGCGAACGCTGGTGCAGTCGAACCCGTTTCGTTGCGTCGCTCAGCTGGCTCCGCTTCAGGCGGCGCCCCTGGGGTGTCGAGACGGCCCCGGGGCTACAGGGCAGTTTTTAATGCATAGGATTATTTTAACATATACGCTGTTTAATACATGACTAATGTATGACCGAATGTATGCATGAACTCATCGCTGTTTTTAAGACTAGGTCCCCGCATTTTTAGTACATGACCCGCACGCGGAGCATGCATTGAAAACGGCACTGTGCGTACTTACTCGGGGGGCCCCGTTGGGGGCAGCCCAGGCCACGGCCGGGGGGGGTCTGCCGCGCGCGCAACCCGAAGCCTGCCGTGTAGCACCGAGGAGTGGCCCCGCCTCCGGAGAGGCAGGCTCGGAAGCAGGAGAGGCCCGCGCGGGGAGGCCCGCGAGCGCGCGGGGGGGCCCGAGGAGGGCCGAGGGGAACGACCGGGCCGGAGCGACGGGATTGAGAGGAGGAGGAGGAGGAGGAGGAGGAGGAGGAGGAGGAGGAGGAGGAGGAGGAGGAGGAGGGAGGAGGAGGGAGGAGGAGGAGGAGAGGAGGAGGAGGAGGAGGAGGAGGAGGAGGAGGAGGAGGAGGAGGAGGGAGGAGGAGGGGGGGAGGAGGGGGGGGGAGGAGGGGGAGGAGGGGGAGGAGGAGGAGGAGCGCAGAACACGACGGGCCGGAGCGAGGGGATTGAGCGTGAGGGCCACACGAGTGGACCCGAGGAACCCTCAGCATCGCCGATGCATCGGCGATGCGGCGCGATGCTCCGACCCCGTCTGCTACGGCGACGAGAGAAGGAGGAGTAGGAGGAGGAGGAGGAGGAGGAGGAGGAGGAGGAGGAGGAGGAGGAGGAGGAGGGGGAGGAGGAGGGAGGAGGAGGAGGAGGAGGAGGAGGAGGAGGAGGAGGAGGAGGAGGAGGAGTGACGGAGACGAGGAAGAGGAGGAGGAGGAGGAGGAGGAGGAGGAGGAGAAGGAGGAGGAGGAGGAGGGACAGAGACGAGGAGGAGGATTCGCGCAAGCAGCGAACAGTTCTTTTGGCATCAAACAGATGTTCCTTCAGTTCTGATTGTGGAAGCTTGGGTCAAGTGTGGGATATAGCATGTGCACCACTAGGTTGCAAATGCTGAGCGTGAACATGAATACGGCTAGTACAGGGACAGCCTGCAATATGCCGTGCCACCTGGTAGGTATCTGAGTTGCGGCATGAAGTACCGAAACGGCGTTGCGTCAAGTCAATCACAAGCCTCAACATTTCCTGCGGCATGGCGATGCGCCACGACACGGCGGCATTCCCAGGGAGCTTCTCTGGATGGGTCTGCGTGGTGCGTCACGCGCTGTCCTGTACTCGCAGACCTCGCCAGGGCGAGTGCGGTTGTACTACGGACGCCACACTCTTCCTCCTCCTCCTCTTCCTCTTCTTCTTCCTCCTCTTCCTCCTCCTCCTCCTCCTCCTCCTCCTCCTCCTCCTCAAGCGTTGACCATCTCAGCACAACAATTGCCACGCTACTAAGCTGCACACGAATGCCAGCTTCCCGCGACCCGTGAACGAACTGCGTCTGCGTGCACACTTCCCCACGTGTTGACAAGAGCAGGACGGGCTTGCGGTCCCGATTCTTGAAGCCCTGGGGCAGCAAGAAAGGCACCGCGCGCACCCGTGCAGACAACCGCCATGAGGAGCATCAAGATGAGTTCGGAAGCAGCTTTCCGCCGTGCCAGCCACGTGCTCCCAGCGGAGAACAGCAGCATGCCTCGCATCAGATGCCGCGCCCGAGGTGCGCAGAGACGCGTCGCGTCAGCGCGGCCTCTGGGCGCACCCCCACCGAGCGCGGGAAGAGGGTCGGGAGAAGAGGGCAGGAAGGAGGTGGGGAGGGGGAGGGGGAGGGCCAGAGAGGACTGTGAGGGGGGCAGGAGCTCGCCATCGCTCGGACGTCCGTCCCCCGTGCATGCTCCGATGTCGTGCGTGCGTGTTGTTCGCAAGGCGCTCCAGGATGCGCATCGATGTGCTCCTCGCCGAGACCCAGAGGCACACGTCCGAGCGATGCCAAGGGAGAGGAGGAGGAGGAGAAGGAGGAGGAGGGAGGAGGAGGGAGGAGGAGGAGAGGGAGGAGGAGGGAGGGGAGGAGGAGGAGGAGGAGGAGGGAGGAGGAGGAGGAGGAGGAGGGAGGAGGAGGAGGAGGAGGAGGAGGAGGAGGAGGAGGAGGAGGAGGAGGAGAGGAGGGAGGAGGAAGGAGGAGGAGGAGGAGGGGGGGAGGGCTCCCTGCCCGTGGAGATTCTCTGCGCCCCCGAACGGGGGGGGGGGGGGCCTTCCGCGCCCGGGCCGACGACCTCCAGGCGCAGGGCCCGCCGGCGGCCGTCCAGGGTGGCTGTGGTGTCGAGGTACTTCCGCCGGAGGGCCTCGTACATGGCCTCGTCGAGGGTGCCTGGGGCGACGAGGTAGTGCACGTTGACCGCGGAGGCCTGCCCGACGCGGTGCACCCGGTCCTCGCGGCGGCGGGCGAGGGGGGGGAAGCGAGAAGGAGGAGGCCTCCTCCTCCTCCTCCTCCTCCTCCTCCTCCTCCTCCCTCCTCCTCCTCCTCCCCATCCTCCCCCTCCTCCTCCTCCCCTCTCCCCTCCTCCCCCCTCCTCCTCCTTCTCCTCCTCCTCCTCAGAACCTCGCGCCTTCTGGGAAGTTCCTCGCATCTTGAGGAAGGCTCAGACCAAAATTCTCAGAAGGCCGGGGGACTTCCGAGCCTTCTGAGAATGCCCGCCCCTTCTCACTTTTCTCCCAGGCTCGCACCCAGTCCTCGGCCTGGAGCATCTGGCCGACCACCCAGTGCAGCTCCGCGAAGACGACGACGGAGACGCACTGCATGTTGATGCCCTGGCCGCACGCGGTGATCGACAGCAGGGCCACCTGCACGGAATCGTCCTGCTGGAACCTGGCGACCCGTTCCGAGCGCTGCGATTGGGGCACGGAGCCGTCGACACGGATGTGGCTGGTGCCGAGCCTCTGGAGGCGCGACTCACTCTTCCTCCTCCTCCTCCTCCTCCTCCTCCTCCTCCTCCTCCTCCTCCTCCTCCTCCCTCAAGCAATTTGGGCGCAGGCAGGTTTGAGGAGGCCCCGACAGCCCCCGACCCACGCGCCCAATCCTCGGGGCTTCCTCGCAGCGCTTGAGGGACTCAGACCAAGGGCCAAGCCACAGCCCGAGGTCTGCGACCAACACCGAGGTTCGTTCTAGCAATGGTCCAGCTGTGGTCTCGCTGCGACCAGTGCCGCATGTGTGAGTGGAACTCCATCATCATGAAGCAGGGAGGCAGTTGTTCGGCATGCGGCACACGCATTCTGTTGTACAAGCCAGCGGGCCGCAAGGTTCACTGGGAGGACGAAGAACAGCCGGAGGCTGCCCCCGCCGCTGCGCCTGACTACGCCAAGGGCGGGCGCGCTCGCAGCCACTCCCCCAGAGGCGGACGACGCAGCGGCAAGGGGTACGGGGCCAAGGGCAACACCAGCTCCACCGTCACCAACCTGCTGGAGCAGGCCGCCCAGGCCACGAGGGATGCGGCGCTGCAGGCCGCTCTCAAGCAGCAGATCGAGAAGATCAGTATCCAGGCCAAGGCCGACTCAGAGGCTGCAGTGTCGCCAGCAGAAGTGCTTCGCAAGGCAGAGGGGGCCTGGAAGAACGCGGAGCACCACCACTCGCAGTGCGTCGACAACGTGCTGCGACTCAGGCAGAGCCTCGAGGCCGCCGAGGCCAAGGAGGCACGTGCGGCCGTGGCCCTGGCGCAGGCGGCGGCGGCCAAGAAGACGGCAGCCCAGGCCGTCGCTCGGGCCGAGGGCGTGGGGGCCCCCCCGCCGACCTCGGCCGCGACGGCGATGTTCACGGTGGAGTGGGACGAGGCGCTGTTCAGCTCGCTGGACGACATGGTCGAGGCGGGTGACTGCTCCAAGGAGGAGCGGGCAGCCCTGGAAGCGCTCCACAACCAGCTCAAAGGGGTCAAGACGGACCTCAACGGCAAGGATAATGAGATTAAGGCCTGGCTCGACAGGGCCAAGCAGATGAAGAGTGACATCCACGACAGGATGAAGAAGAAGAGGAAGGGCGATGACGGAGGAGCGAAGGCTGCGGCAGGTCAGCAGACCAAGCCGCCTGCTGCGGGAGGAGAAGCAGCAGCCAGCCAGAGCTCCGCCACGGAGACGGCCCAGACTGACGACAGCAAGGCGGCGTCCGAGCGGATCGAGGAGGATGCGAAGAAGTTGTCGGCGGCCAAGTTCACGGCCAAGGCTGAGGCCGCAGCGGCCAAGGCGGCCACCAAGGCCCAGGCCAAGGGAGGAGGCGATGGTGACGCCTCTTGACTATCTCAGGCAGTTGACGACAACCACACTGAGGGCACCACGACATTGTTCTACGCGAATGTCACAGCCTTCACCGCCAAAGTGTGGCAATACCTTCAATTAAATTATTGCAAGTATTCCTTCTGGGCCTGGGCAGAGACTCACATCCACGACGAGTCAGAGCTCAGGGAGTGGGACAAGAAGGCTCGGGACGCACATCTCCGCCTCCACTACAATGCGGCGCGCCCGTCGGACAAGGCTGTGGCAGCAGGGTTCGAGGAGCGTGCGAATGAGGGCGGTGAGTTTTTCATGGCTCAGCAGCGCCTGCAGGCCCACGTCCTGCCTGAGGCCAAGATCGCTGCGGGACATCTGCGCGAGACAGGTCAAGCCAGCATTGATGGGTTTCTTCCGATGGTCTTGCATCTCGCTGGGTATTCTATCATAGTAGTGGTACTATACGCGCTGCCCAGCATCATGATGACGGGTCACAACAAGATCAGATTTCAAAGGCTCGGAGGACTTCTTCGGGCAGTCAGGCTCCCATGGATGATAGTGGGGGACTTCAACATGGAGCCCGACATCCTCGCCGCCAGCAGTTTCGTTTCCCAGCTGAACGGCATCATTCGCACTGCAGGCCCTGCAGGCACGTGCGCCAACTGTCAGGGGCGCGACAAGGTGCTTGACTATGTGGTGTGCAGCCCCGAGGCCTCGCCGTTTCTGAAAACAATCAGGGCGGTGCGATCTGTCCCTTGGAAGCCACATCAAGGTCTCGCCATCCAGTTACGTAGCTCGGGCCTCCAGCTTCTCACCCGCTCCCTCGTGGTCTCTCCCAGGCTCCCTCAGGCCCCGAGACCTCGTAGGGAGCCCATTGCCGGTTATAAGTCTAGTCTTTCTAGAGCTCGCCAGGCGATTGCCCAGCAAGAGGCCCTGGAGGCTCGTAGGCAGCATTTCCTTGAAATGTTTGGGGATTGTTTTCATAGCCCTGGGGTCCCGTCGTCGTCTGCGGAGGGTGTAGGTCAGGCCCCTCCCGATGAGGTCGATGAATCTCTCGATTGTTGGCCCGGCGAAGAGGACGACCCGTGGGCTGACCAGCTGAACTTTTGTGCTGACGGAGAGTTGAGTAACGCCCTCGCTTCCCCGTCTCACCCCATCCTCCCCACACCTGGTGCGATGGGCAGTGCTGAAGCGTGTCGGCAGGAGAGGCAGTGTAAGACTGATCCAGCAATGGTACAGCAGAATCCCCTCCCCAATTCGTGCCAGCCCCCCCCAACCAAGAAGTGGGAAGATTTAAATCCCGATTTAAATCAGCATGATTTACAGTTTTGTGATCCTGGGACCAGCCCTCTACAGGCCCCTGAAAGCTCCCCCTCCGCGTCGGTCACGTTCCAGATCCCGAGCGAGTTGTGGGTCGAGAGCAGACAGGAGGTGGGTTTTGCTTCGGGGCAGGACTGCATTCAATCCCTTTCTCCGTCCCTCCTCAAGTCCGTAGCATTTCGGCTTGAGGCCTCACACTCTACTGTTGTTTCAGGAATGTATGCAGCGTGGATCTCCACAGTCGAGCTCAGCATCACCAGACACCATGGCATGGAGCTCCCTCGCTCGAGGCGAGCCCACGGGGCTCGATGGGTCGAGGGCCCAGTCAGGCAGGCGGCTCACAGACGGAAGATCCACCTCCGCGACCAGAGAGCCCAGTGGTGGACCCAGGTCCACACGTTGATCGCAGGAGTCAGCCGCCACTTACAGCGTGGGAATGGCACTCACCAGTTACAGAGGTACCAGGAGGCGGCACTCAAGGCAGCAGGGGATCGTCCCGAGGGCGTTCATACCGTGCTTCGAGGCGGATGCGACCCCCCTTGGGGTAAATGGTTACGGCTGCTCGAAGCGAAGTGCCAGATCAACCCAGCAGTTTTGGAGTCTTATGTTCACAACGCCCGCAAGATCATGCAGCGGGCTCAGAGATTGGCGGTGCTGTCGGCCATCCATGACTTCCGTGCGTGGGTGGCGGAGCCAGAGGCGAACGGCATCCTCCACAAATCGTTGAAGAAGGGCCCTCTGCCTCCTACCGAGATCGTGGTGGGCCAGCAGCTCATGTACCACCCGAAGGACATCATGGACGCAAAGGCGGAGAAGTACCAGCGGCTGTGGGCACCTTTGGCCCCCAAGTTGCAGGATGTTAGGGAATTATTTCGACAGATTCGAGATCGAGCGGTCGACGAGCCGCTCCCACAGCTAGAGGTAACGGACGTCTCCAGGGCTGCTTCACGAATGAAGGCCAAGGCAGGCCTGGGCATCGATATGGTCACGCCTACTGACTACCAGAGGCTCCCTGTCGAAGGCCAGGCCGAGCTGCTCATGATTCTGGAGGCCGTCGAGGCTACGTTGGCGTGGCCCGCTCAGACGTTGGCAGTGATTGGGAAGCTCACCCCCAAAAAGTCAGGGGGTGACAGGGCGATCGGCCTAGTGTCGATGCTCGGCCGACTCTGGTCCTTGATGCGTGAGCCGTCCGTGCAGACCTGGTCGGCTGAGAGCGCTCGCCACTGGGACGCCGCCCTCCCAGGCAACTCCTGCCTACAGGAGGCGTTCCTACGTGCACTCGACGAAGAGCTGGCCTTCACCATGGGCATGCAGTACGGCCACGGGATGCTGGATATCGCCACGTTCTACGACAGCATCCCGTGGGACATCCTCGTATCGGCCGCGTTGCGGCTTCATTTTCCACCAGTGATACTATACCTTGAATTATTACAATGCGTGGCCCCACGCTGCTTGGAGCAGGACAAGACCGTGTCGACGTTGTTTGACCCGCTCCTCAGCGTCGTACAAGGGCTGCGGTCAGGAACCCGTTTCGCCAAGATGATGACCCACCATGTCATGGCCACAGTGACTACTGCTCATCCGAGGATGGGGGCGAGACTATGGGTCGACGACGTGTCGGAGACAGTCAAGGGATCTAGCAAGGCCATCCGCTCGGAGCTCGCCAGCGGCATCATCATGACGTGCCGTGAGTTGCAGCATCGCAAGCTCAAGGTTGCCGATAAATCAGTGGTCATCTGCAGCTCGATGCATGATGCTCGGGCCATTGCCCGCCAGGTCCGACGCGCAGGCTTTGTCATCAAGCCAGTCACGCACGCCACCTATCTTGGCATCGACTTCGGGTGCGGGAGGAGAGCGCGAGCGACCAGGGTGCTGCGGGAGAAGAAACATCGGCTCATGAGTGTCAAAATACGACGGTTCACGAGGGCCACGAAGCAGTACGGGGCCATGACCAAGCTCCAGAGGCAAGGCGGCTTGCCCGCGGGTCTCTACGGGCACCAGGTCCACGGGCTCTTCGGAGAGCAGCTCACGAGGAGCAGACGCAGGCTCGCGCAGGCTTGTGCCTCGTCAGCGAGAGGACGATGTCTCACCACCGTCCTGGCGCTGAGGGCCCCAGGGGCCGATCCAGGAGTGCTATACCCGACCCAGACGGTGGGCGCCTGGCTCAAAATTTGGCGCGACTGCCCCGAAGTCAGGGCGGGAGTCCGACGAGTGTGGCCCACTATTGTGCAGCAGATGCAGACAGTTCCAGTTCCAACTCAGGTACGGCTCATCAAAGGCCCCACTGGGGCCATCATCCACACGCTGTTGAAGCTGGGCTGGACTCCACATACCCCTGATACGTGGGCGTTTCAAGTCGGCCCTGACCACAACGAGGAATGGCAATTCCCAGATCATATCTACACGGGAAATCCCCACGTGGACCGACATGACCACTTGCTGGACGACGTACGCGAAGCATGCCAGACCCAGCTCTGGACCCAGGCGGCCAAGCACTTCTGCGGCGGAGGGTCGGAGCATGGAGTCGACAACTCTTCGTACATCCAGCTACTGAGACAGTTGTCCCAGGTGTCCAACGGCAAGAGGTTGTGTGAGATCATGGTCATGGTTGCGTCAGGCGGGATCTGGAACAATCAGAGGAAGAAGATGGAGCTCAAGAGATATCAGGGCACGGACGTATGCGACCGATGCAACGACGAGGTCGAAACCCCACTACATCGATATTGGCAGTGCAGGTGCAACGCAGACGCCAAGCCCTACGTCGATTCCGAGGATTTGTGCATGCAGGCAGTCACACAGTGCAACACTGCAGAGGCTTTTTGGCTGCGCGGGCTCCTTCCCGCGCACTGGACGGAGGTGAGTCCACCGCCGTCACAGGAGGCCTGGCAGTTCACTGGTGGACAGACGCTCGAGGCTGGAATTTTCGGACCAGGCTCGGCCGAGTGCCCTGTCTGGATTTTCGGCGACGCCAGCGGGGGCCCAGACAGCAGGTGCCCCAGACTGCGGAGAGTTGGCCTAGCCATCACGTGCTTCGAGCGTGTGGAACCTGTCATCGTCCCCAGGGGCTCCATCTTTGGGCCGCTGAACGGACGGCGGCAGGTAGTGGCCAGGGGTGAGCTGAAGTGCTTACACCTGGCCCTCTGGGCCACCACGCAGTATCTCACTTTTGTCACTGATTTCGAGGATGTTGTCACTGGGTGGTACGAGCAAAGGTACCTACAGCCCAGAGGGGCTGACGCCGACCTCTGGGCGGCCATCGGACAGCTGATGGCCCGCCGCCCGCATCATCTTGTGTCTGTCCTTTTCACGCACTCTCACTGCCAGCCAGATGGCAGCTGGCCAAGGCATCCGTCAGTTGATTATCGGTAACGCAGTCGTGGACGAGCTTGCGGGTCTTGCCGCCGTCCAGGCACGCGTGCCCGAGGCAGAGCGCTGCAGATTGTTGCTTCACGAGCGCCGAGCGCGGCTGGTTCGTCTCAGGCTGCTGCGAGCTGCGGTGGACTGTCTTGCCAAGGAAAAGCAGTTGGAGCGTGAGCGCGGTGGTGTGTTGCGCGGAGGCCCTAAGCTTCCCCCTCCCCCGCCTCCCCCCTCGGCTCCCACTGTTGCCGCCTTTTTGTCTCGGCACCTGTTGTCCGACTGTAAAAAGAGATGCCTTCGGTGCCATGGCTCTGCGTCGCTGGCCACCTTGAAAGAGTGGCATGCGACTCAGTGTCACAGTTTGGTGAATGTGAATGGGCTGATATACTCCCCTCCAGTCGGAGGGAGAATCCATGTCGGGGGGGGCTGGCTGCACCAATCCCATCACCTCAACTTCCACCAGTCTCTGAATGTATGGTTCTGTGGCAAGTGTGGGGCGATAGCTGACAAGCAGCTATGTTCGCTTGCAAAGCCCTGCTCGAACACCCTTGGAGCCACGGGACGAGTTTATCTCAGGAGAATTCACGAAGGGCTCCCCCCCAAGGTCCTCAGCAAGGCCGAAAAGGCCCAGCGAGGCCGAGGGTAGCCCTGTCTTGGGATTGGCATCGCCATTGGTTCCTATTCCTATACTCCTCCTCCTCCTCCTCCTCCGCCTCCTCCTCCTCCTCCTCCTCCTCCTCCTCCTCCTCCTCCTCCTCCTCGACACGGATGTGTGCCGAGCCTCTGGAGGCGCGACTCCAGTGCGTCGAGCATCGCGTGGTGGTGGGCGAACAGCAGGAAGCGGCAGCCCGAGTGGACGATGCACTCGGCGTAGTCTGCGGCCGCGTCCAGCTTCGCCTCGCAGGTCAGGCGGTACATGTCGGCCATGGCGCGCTGCGTAGAGACGATGGTCGGCAACGCGCGCCCCGCCAGTGGCTTGACCACTTCTTCTGTGCAGGCGTGGTCGACTGCCAGCTGCAAGAGGCTGCGCTGGTCCGAGTCCCCTTGCTCGGCGTCACCGCCGCCGCCTGGGCCAGGACCAGCAGAGCCGCGAAGCACCGTCAGCAGAGCGGAGATCTCCGAGACCGACCCCGCCTTGAGCTGCGCCACCTCCAACCGGACGCGCTGTCGCCTCTTGGTCGGTAGCTGCGTCAGCACCTGGTCCTTCAGGCGACGGATCATCACGGTGCTGGTCAGAAGCAGGTGCAGCTCCTCGGGCTTCCTGCTGCCCTTCCACCTCACCGCCTGCCTGCCCCGCACGAAGCCTGGGAGCTGCTGCCTCTCGCAGTACCTCTCCAGGAACTGGTCCTCCGAGGGCACCAGCCCTGGCAGCAGGGCGTCCACCAGCGGGTAGAGCTCGGCCGCGTTGTTCACCGCCGGGGTGCCGGTGAGCAGAATCGCACGCCGGGCCCGGCGGATCATCGGCAGCAGCGCGCGGGTCCGCAGCGAGGCGGTCGACTTCAGGAAGTGGGCCTCGTCGCAGATCACGACGCGGAAGTGCCGGCCGCTCGCGTGGCGGCGGAAGTGCTCGTGCCTGGCGGGCAGGTCGTATGACACGATGCCCAAAAGTCCGACGTCCTGAGTTTTTCCAGACGGGGTCCCGGGAAGTCCCGACCCTTTCCCCAGGGCCGGCTTTTCATCCCGAGTCGTTTTTTGACGGTCCCAAGGCCCTGCGAGGGCCTCTAGAAGCCGAAAGTGGCCCAAACCTGCGTCTTGGTTTCCTCAAGGCGCTGGATCTCCGGGGAAGTGCTCGTGCCTGGCGAGCAGGTCGTAGGACACGATCACGACGCGCGACAGGCGCCGGGGCAGGTCGGCGCCCTTCAGCAGCACCTGCACCGGGGCGGCTCCTGGGCCGAGGGCGCCGCGCGGCAGCCATCTCACGGCCTCGTCCGCCCAGTTCCTGGGCACACCCGCGCGGCGTGCGGAGAGAGCAGCCCGGAGAGCCAACATAGTGAGACAAACAACAAGACGGCGGTTCTGGCCATGGAATCGGCCTCAGGAGGCCCGGCCTCGGGAGCGTCAAAGAACGGCTCAGAATGGTATATACCCAGAGTTCCAACGCATTGAAAAAATCAAGACGGAGGTTTTTCGCAGTTTTCGGCCTCTAGGGGCCCTCGCCGGGCCTCGGGACTGTGAAAAAACGGCTCAGGATGAGACGCCAGCCCTGGGGACAGGGTCGGGACTTCCCTGGACCCCGCATGGAAAAAGTCACGACGTCGGATCTTTGGGTGGCACACCCGCACGGGGTGCGGAGAGAATGGGCACGGCGCCCCACAACGACTGCTTTCTGCCGCGCGCGGGGGGCCTCGTCCGTCACACCGCGCGGCGATCCCCGCGTCGAATCCAGGGCAAATGCATAGAATCCACCTCGAAATCGCGTCGGATCCACGGCGGGCCCTTGTCGAACACCTGTCGAGCCCGCGTCGGACACAAGAGAAGAGCGCAATTTGCAGGGCAACCAAGGTCCCCCCAAAGATGCACCGCAGACTGCTGCCCAAAACTGGCAGCGGCCGCTGCTGGGCAGGCGATTTTCTGCCTCAAATGGGCAAGGTCCGCGGCGACACAGCCCAGGCGGTGAGTCCTGCTCAAGATGGGGAAGGTCTGCTGTCGGTCGTCGTCCCCGTTCGTTCCGCACCCGCAGACATCCGGCTGCTCCGAGCTTTTCGATGCGGGGGCCCGCGGGTCTGGACCACTGCCTGGGGGCCGGCTGTGCGTCCTGAATCCTTGTTTGACGTCCCCGAGGCCCGGCAAGGGCTCCCGGAGGCCGAAGACAGCCCAAAACCGCCCGCTCCCGCTTTTCCCTGGAGCGCCGGATCCGTGGGCCCGTGTTTCGAGGGCACCGAGCTCCGGCACAGGGACGAAGGGCACACCACCAGCGCCGGCCACTCGTCCGTGTAGTGCGCTGCGATGCAGAGCGCCTGCGCCGTTTTCCCAAGGCCCATCTCGTCGCCGAGGAGGGCGCGCCCGCCGTTCTGCAGGCAGAAGCGGACGCCCTCCAGCTGGTAGGGCAGCAGGGCGTGCCCGTCGGAGCTCCTGAGCTCCTCTGGGCGAAGGGCAAGACACACACACACACACACACACACACACGCGCACACGCACACGCACACACGCACACACGCACACACGCACACACGCACACACGCACACACGCACACACGCACACACGCACACACGCACACACGCACACACGCACACACGCACACACGCACACACGCACACACGCACACACGCACACACGCACACACGCACACACGCACACACGCACACACGCACACACGCACACACGCACACACGCACACACGCACACACGCACACACGCACACACGCACACACGCACACACGCACACACGCACACACGCACACACGCACACAACACGCACACACGCACACACGCACACACGCACACACGCACACACGCACACACGCACAACACACGCACACACGCACACACGCACACGCGCACACACGCACACACGCACACACGCAGACACGCACACACGCACACGCACACGCACACGCACAGCACACACGCACACACGCACACACGCACACACGCACACGCACACGCACACGCACAGACACAGACACAGACACAGACACAGACACAGACACAGACACATCCGTAGCCATTTTGGATCAAGGCCATGGAGCACCCGACGACCGCGAGTCGTCCGCGGCGCTCTGAGCGCGAGGGGCTCTTCGCTTTGGGCCAGCTCACAAGTGATTGTTCTTCGTGTCGGCAGCACGGGCCGCGAGGCCGCAGTTTTGGGCCGCGAGGCCATACGTCGGAATCAGCCTTGCCATGGTGGCCTACGGGCATGCAGCTGGGGGCCGCTCCTGGGCCAGTGCCGCGGCGGGCGGCAAGGCCAAGGGCGGCTGGAGCTACTGGGTCTGCTCCAGCAGCATGTGCAGGGAGTGGAACTGGTGCTCGCTCTGGAAGTGCCGCGGCTGCGACCGTGTGGCCCCGCCGTGGGTCAAGGCAGCCCAGCCGCCCGCGGCTGCCGCCGGCCAGGAGCCGCACGTCGCCGACGACGGGGGCTTCGTCGTCCAGCCCCGTGGGAGGAAGGCGAGGCGCCAGGCCAAGCGCACGGCTGCCCGCGCGGCCAGCGCTGGGGCCGCCAGCCAGGCAGGAGTCAGCGAGGCCAGCAGCGGGCAGCAGTCGGCCGTCGAGCAGCACCGCCTGGAGGTCAAGCGCATCGAGGACTTCCTTGCAGCCCCTGGCGGGTCCATCGACGAGGGGCGCCTGCAGTCGCTGCGCGCGGCCCTCGACCGAGAGCGGCGCAGGCTCTCGGCTGCCGAGGCGGCGCAGGCGGAGCGCAGGAAGGCCGACGCCCCCCTGCCCAAGGCGCTCCACGGGGCTGGCAACGCCCTGGGGAAGTTGGTCAGGCAGGGGCGGGCCAAGGAGCAGGCGCTGCTCAAAGCTGAGGGGGCCCACGCGGCAGCCATCGGTGAGCGTGAGGCGGCCATCGCGCGCGAGGCCGCATGTGCAGAGGCGGTCGAGGAGTGCCGTGCTGCTCTCGAGGCTCACCGCGAGGAGCAGAGGGCCGCAGAGGCCAGACAGGCCAAGGAGGTCGGCGCGGCCTTCGTCGGCACGGACCTGCTCGGGATGGTCCACGGCCTCATCCAGCAGGTCGAGGCCTTGCCCCAGGGCTTCGCCGCGGGCAATGGGGAGGCCGCCTTCGCCGAGGTCGCCAAGCAGATTGCTGCGGTACGCAGGCATGCACCCCCCGAGGCCAGAGGACGCTCATCCTGGGCCGACACCCCCCTCGACGTCTCGGACGAGGACCTCGACGGAGATGAGGAGGAGCGGGCGCGGGCGTCATCGGCCCCCCCTCTGCAGGACGCGGCCGAGCGCGGCCAAGCAGCACGCCGAAGAGAGGCGCTCGGAGCGTGGCCCTCAGCCCAGCCGCTGGCTAGGGACCTGGCCAACGCTGGGGCAGCCCTCCTCGACGACCAGCCGCTGGCTACTGCTGCTGGTGGCCATGTTGCTGTGGGTCGGCGTCGGGTTTGACGTCGACTCGGCATGCCAGTGGTCGGTTGACAGCAGAAGGGTCAGACGGCGCCTGAGCGAGCAGGCGCCAATGGAGTGGGGAGCCCGAGGCCGTCCCCATGGCCTGGGTGAACCTGCGAGTGCGGCACCTGGCCGAGGGGGAGCGATGAGGGCCGCCGACGGGCGGGTGGCCGTTGCCCCTCACCCCCCCGCGCGCCCCGTTGAGGCCGCTGGCGAGCGGGTGGCCGAGTCCCTTGACGGGCGCAGCGAAACCAAGGTGCCAAGTGACAAGAGGACGAGGATGACGGCGCAGGAGGCCTGCATTGGCAAGGCTCGCCTCGGGCCACAGCCAGCCCCTGAGTCTGACCCTCGAGGACCTTGCCCCCTGCGTGCTGGCCTGGAGGTCCTGGGCTGCAACGGTAACGTCTGGAACAGGAGCCTCGAGGTCCTCGAGGCCTTCTTCCACGCCCACCAGTACTGGCCGCAGCTGGTCCTCCTTCAGGAGACGCGGCTTACCCAGGAACGGCTCCCTGGGGCCAGGGCGCTGGCACGCCGCCTCGGCTACGCCGCCTTCTTCCATGAGGCGGTGGCGACGGGTCAGCCTGGCCCGAACGCCACGTCGGGCGGCGTCGCGATCCTGGTGAGGGCTGGACTCCAGGCCGAGGAGTCAGCATGCCAGCTCCCTGCGGCCCTGCGCCACCGCCTCATCGGCGTCGAGGTGACGGCGCCGTCGGGCCTCCGTCTCCTGGCCTTGGCTGGGTACTTCCAGCACTCCTTGGGCCCGCGGGGGATCAACCTCGACCTCTTCTCCTCGGTCTCGGACCTCGTGGCTTTCTCGCTCGACTTGCCCTGGGTCCTCCAGGCGGATTTCAACATGGAGCCCGAGCCCCTGCAGGAGCTGGGCTGGCCTGCAGCGGTTCGCGGTCAGGTGCTCGGACCCTCTGAAGCAACCTGCGTTGCCCAGGGCCTGGAGCACGTCTACGACTGGTTCGTCGCCTCGTCCGACCTGGCCACGTGCACGGTGTCCTGCGCGACCACGCTCAACGACTTCGGGCTGCACCCGCACTCTCCAGTGCTGCTGCGCCTCCAGGACTTCAGGTGCGATGCCCTGGTCGAGGTGCCCTCCCGTCCTGCTCGGTTCCCAGAGGTGGAGGTCAAGGGCGTGTGCTCCCGCGAGGACGCCGTGGTCTCTGTCGGCAAGCGCGGGAAGGTGTCGCAGAAGGATGTAGCTTGGTCGTGGGCTCAAGGTTCGTGCCCGACCAGCCTCTCTGCTGCTTTCGGCGAGTGGATCGAGGCGGCGGAGGGTACCCTCACGGGCATCCACGAGATTGCGCCAGGCGACCTGCCACGCTACCTTGGGCGAGCGGCAGGGCCCAGGACCAGGCGCATGCCTTTCAGCGCGCTGGTGCAGCGTGAGGCCAGACTGAAGTACAGCATGCTGACCCACCGCCTGAGGAGCTGCCTGGCGGTCGCCCTCCAGAGGCTTCGCGCAGAGCAGGCCAGCAGGTGGCACCCGTCCCACTCCTGGTGGTATGAGCAGCAGGCTGCGGCGAGGGCGAAGCTCCTGGACGAGGCGACCCAGGAGGAGGCTTGCCTTCGGAGCGCGCCCCTCCTCGGGGCGTCCGACGTGAAGTGGGGGGACCTCGCCTTCCACGCGGGGGTGAAGGGCTGCCCCACGGCGATCGCCAAGCTACAGTCGTGGCTCCTGGCGTCCCAGAGGCGCGATGCCGCAGAATGAGCTGCCGCTTGCCGCAGTTGGGCCCAGACGGCGGTGGAGAAAGGAGGCCGCCTGGCCCACCGCTTCTCCAAGGCGGCTCCCACGCCTGTAGTCAGGGACGCCGACACAGGGAGGCCCCTCGTCGGCATGGGCGCCGTTGACCAGCTCACGCGCACGTGGCAGCGGCTCTGGCTTCAGGAAGGCTTCTCCAGCGGAGCCGGAGCCCACCAGTGGGATGTTGGATCCTGGACGCTGCCGCCCATCACCCTGGAGGCATTGCAGCAGGCATGCAAGCGCTACGGCCCGCCTGTGGGGCTGGGCTGCGACAGCCTGCACCCTCGCCAGCTTCTCCTGCTGCCAGTGGCGCTGCAGCTTCGCCTGATCGACATCCCCACGGCGTTCGAGGACGAGCCTTCCTCGATCAGGGGACAGGTGACGCTCCTGGTGTTTATTCCTAAAGCCGACGGAGGGACCAGGCCCATCGCGCTGCTTCCGCTGGCCTTGCGGCTGTGGTCTCGCCTGAGGCAGCCGTGCTGGCTGTGCCCGATGGGAGTCAGACCACAGCTTCCCCTTCTTCTGGGGTCGCGATGGCCGTGATTGCGAAAGAGCGGGTTGGATCCACGACTGCTTCGCGGGCTTCGCGATGGCCTCCCCGCACTTCGAGGTGGCCAGCCTGTTCCTGGACATCCGCAAGTTCTACGAGCACGTGCGCCACGACGTCCTCTGGACGTCAGCCCAGCGCTTCGGCTTCAACCTGAAGCTGCTGCGCGGCCTCCTCGCCATCTACCAGGCCCCGCGGATCGTGCTGGCAGGTGGCATGGCTTCGGCCCCCTTTGGGGCCGGTGGCGCAGTGCTGGCGGGCTGCGCGTGTGCGACGGCTGTTGCGAAGCTTCCCCTTCTTGGAGGCCTCCTCGCTGCTGGGGCTCGTCGGCCTCTTGCCACCCTGCGCAATTTGGTGGGCGACGTCTCGCTCCAAGCTGTCGGCTCGGCGAGGCTGGTCGTGGACCAGCTCGCGGGGGCCAGCGGGGAGGTGCTGCGACACCTGCGGGCCCACCACCTCTCGCTCAACGAGGACAAGTCGGTATTCCTGGCCTCGTCTGCACAGGTTGCGGACGGCCTCGTCGCCAGCTGGGCCGCCCTCGGCTTCGAGGTCAAGCGTGGCTCCCAGGCCCGCAACCTGGGCACCGACGCCAACGTGACCCGCAGAGGGGTCCATGAGGGAGGCGCCCGCGCTGTGGGAGGCCTTTCCCGCGCCAGGCGGCTGAGAACCCTGGGCTCGGCGGGGGCCGCGGTGGTGCACATTCACCGCGCTGGCCCTACCGCCGCCATGCTGTGGGGCAGGACGGTCACTGGGGTGCCCGACGGCGAGCTTCACCCCTGGCGCCTGGCGGCTGCGCGCTCGGCAGGGAAGCTCCCCAATGGCGCCTCCCTTGGGCTGAGGCCCAGGGCGATCGAGGTGCAGCGCTCCGCCGACCTGGACCCGAGCCCAGCCCTGGTGCGCGCCGCTGTGCAGGTGGCAGCCAGCCTCCTTCAGACGGGCGAGGTGCCCCTGAGGATGTTCGCGACCTGCCTGGAGGAGGCCGAGCGCAGGCACGGCAGCGCCAGGGTGCCCTGGGTGAACTGCAAGAACCCTGTCGACGCACTGGCCCTCTCCCTGTTGCGGGTTGGGTGGCGTCTCTCGGCTGGGCACTTCCTCCACGCCGATGACGGCCACACCTTGGACATGCTGATCATGGGCCCCCGCGAGCTCGGGCCGCTGGCTGCGGCAGGTGCACGCAGGGCCTCCGACCGAGCTGAGATGACGCGGCTTGGGCCCGGAGCCGCCCCCCCCATGCCCTTGTTTTGGGACGCGCTCGGCCAGGTCATCGGGCCGCGCGGCAGGTTCAGCAGCAGGGAGAAGGCCGCGGTGGTGAGCTACGTGTCTAACGCCCACTGGCCCCAGACTCGCCTCTTCGCGGCTGGTGAGCGGGGCCACCCTCGATGCTGCGCCTGCGGAGGAGTGCGTGGCAGCCTCTGGCACAGGCTCTTCGAGTGCCAAGCCCTGGCCACTGAGAGGAGGGACTCGGTGTCTGGCCGCCTCCTCCGCTGCGCCACTAGAGTGTGGCAGCGAGGTGAGGAAGCCGGGGGGTGCTTCTCCAGGTGCTGGCTGCCGCAGCCCCCGCAGACGGCCTGGAGGTCGGACGCTATGGCAGTCATGTGGGTGAACAGGCCTGCCGACGGGCTGCTAGGCGGCCGCCTCTTCCTCGACGGCTCGGCGCTCGACCCTGAGTTCGAGTGCATTCGTAGGGCTGGCTGGAGTATCGTGCAGTGCGACGAGTTCGGCAGCTTAGAGGCGGCTGTGTACGGCACGGCCCGCCTCGACCTGTGTCCCTTCCAGACGGCGAAGGACGGCGAGGACTTCGCGGTCTGGATGCTGAGCCGCTACCTCGGGCCCTCGATCATCGAGATCAACATCGACTGCGCGTCCACAGTCAGCTGCTTGAAGCTTGGCAGGAAGTATGCGACGGCTGCCAACAAGCCCAATGCACACCTGTGGTCGGCCGTCTACGCCTCGCTGGACGTCGACTCGCTCATTGTGAACAAGGTGGCGGCCCACTGCACCGAGATCGATGCTCGCGAGGGCAGGATCTCGGAGTTTCAGTTGCTTGGGAACGGCCACGCCGACAGGTTGGCGAAGGCGGGGGCGGCCCTCCACAGGGTCAGCGCGGCGGCCAGGCGGGAGTTCTTAGGCGCGATGGAGGTCGTGAGAGAGCTCTCCAGGTGGATCGCGCAGGCCTCGATCGTCTGGCAGGACAGGGGCTCCAAGGACTGCGAGGGCCTTCCTGAGGGCGACGAGCGGAGGACTGCTGTCACCTTCGCGGTCCCGCTGGAGGAGTGTGCTGACGGCCCGCGGGCGGCCCCCGCGAACGGATTGGGCGCCCTGCCCGCCGCCGTGGGGGCCCGAGGGGAACAGGCTGTCGGCCGCCCCGATGCTGTCGGCGCCTGGGCTTCGGCAGCGCGCGACGGAGGAGTAGCGCTGGGCGCCCTGGTCTTCGCCGTCGCGGGGCACACCCTCGCGCACGCCAGGCGCGGTGAGGACGGCGACCAGCAGGAGATCACTGCGTGCACCAGGTGCGGAGCGCATGCTAGGCTTGGCGCACGCCCTGGCCCGCAGCCCAAGCTCAGGGAGCGCTGTCCTGGCTCAACGGGCCTCCCCAGGTCGCTGCGGGACCAAAAGTCGCGGTGGGAGCGTGGCCTCCACCCTGGGGGCACGCCACACGCCCGCGACACGCGGAGGAAGGGGGCGGAGGCCCCCCGCCTTCGCAAGGAGGCTGAGGTGCCGCTGGACGCCAGGGTGGGCTTCCTGAAGTGA